ATCTTTTAATTGAAGGTTAGAAGAGAACATTAGGGGATATTGACTTGAATGTCTTGAGGAAAAACTTATGATGAAGGGAATTGATGAAAATCACTATAAAGCGCCCTGAGAAGGACTTAAATTAACCAACTATCTTTCCATGTTCAATTGTGATACTCTCCAAGAACTAGGGACTTTGTCTGGGGATGGGCAGTGGACTCATAGTAAGTTAACTTGTGAGTCACTGGTCTCTACTGAGGCCTATAATGGTGGGTGAAGTTGTGAAACCTCAAGAGATAACACAAGTTCACAGCCAAGGATGCATTAATTCAACGTCAACCAGATCAGTATTGTAGCCGCAGGCATCTCACTCTTGGATGAAGTAACTTAATACTTTACTTGGAGAAGTCCTTGAGTTATTCTATCCTTGAGCATTTCTCTCCCTTCTTCTGGTAACCAAATAAAAATGGGCCACCCAGACAAGGTGTTAGTCTTAGGCCCTAGAGAATCTTGAGTTGTGAGAGTTTTGTGTGTGTGTGTGTGTGTGTGTGTGTGTGTGTGTGTGTGTCTGTGCATGTGTATTTTTAGGGAAGTGTCTACAGGGTGTTCAGGGTCTCACCACTAGATTGGACTTATGATTCACCTGTTTACAGCCTCCCAAGAGCTGGGATTACAGGCATGCACCACCATTCCCAGTCTCAATTGCTGTCTCAGCGGGCCGCTGGAGTCGGGGCCAGCATGGCATCTGTGAGAAGTTTTGATCCTCCTGGATCCCTGAAATCATTCTGTTTGACTCTTTTCTTTAGCCCTTTCCAAATACTCATTTGTGATAATGAGGACCTGATTACTGTGCAATATCTAAGGAATATTATTAACACAATAGCAGATCAAACTTTCTCCACTGAAAAATTAAGTGGCCATCTTTTTAAAAAAGCTAATGGGATGATGTCAGTTTAACGATAACTGAATTCTGGTCACCTAGCTCTAGAATTCTCATGGGTAAACAGAGGTTCCATTCACTGGAAAGAATCATCTCAGTTTGCTGGAGATGCAATCATGTGGGTCTCTTTCCTTTAATATATGTGGTAACATGTTTTGAAAAATGACTAAAAGTTTCTGAATGTAGCTGAATGTCCAATAAACATCTTGCTTTGGTGTTGTTAATCTTGAACTGGTAGAAGGTCATGTAAATTCATAGCTATCTGAGCTTGCCCTAGCAGCTTCTTGAAAGATAGTTGCAATGTGATCTATGAAACTATTTGTAGAGCTAAGATGATATTTGACTGAGGATGTGTAGTAATATAGAAGACAGTGAGCAAAAGTTTGGCTTTGTTGTTTTTACTTAGCTGGTTGGCAATCCATACACTCAGGTGAAAATTTGTGTTTTATAGAAAAATTGGATTTTATATTTCTGACTGTCCCAAAAGAAATTCATATATAATGCTTTTAATGAGGAGGGAAGAATGGCCCAGGGTTGTCTGTTCCCACACTGATGGTAGTCTCTGAGTATGTCATGACTGCATCATGTCATGTTGATTGTGCTATAATTCTCTCAGGACTGATTTTGAGAAGGAATGTTTTTCACAATTCCAATTTCTAGTTTGTTTATGTAGTCAAGTGAAGTCCAGTGGGATAAATGCCATGACACATGACTTATTTCAGTAATGAAATGACAGTAATGCAAGTTTCTGTTATTAGACATTATCAAAGAATTTGAGCTCTCCATTACTAACTGTGATAGGAAATAAATATTGTATTTGTATGTTATGCTTAAGATTAAGACTAGCAGATGTAAGGGAAATGGTCAAAATAGCATACTTTGACAATTATAAAGGAGTAAAGAGCAAAAGGCTTTATTATGTGATATACTTATAAGAATTTGTTAAATCTCAGACCTAAACTCATCCCTTAGTGTACAAGGATATTTTAATTTACACATTGGGTAAATTCTTTTGATACTTGCAACCTGGCTACTTTACTCCTAAATAAAGCAAACATCTTTCCTGGTATAGAATAAAGTCCAATGATATTAGGAAAGGAAATATTTTCAAAGGCTCTCCTTGTTTTCTCTTAGACCTGGTTTAAATTTAAAAATCACCTTATATTAGTTTCTCATGATTAAGCCCCTGAAGAGACACTGATCATCAAAGAACAGTAAACTAATTCCCAATTTCTTGATAAATTTTAAGTAAAATATTGAAAAGTATTGTAAGTATTGTAGTTTCCTGAATTCCAGAAGTAACTATTGTGGTGTGCAAAAAGATATATCTATTGGCCAAGCAATGACCGTGACTCATCCATGTGGCTGACACTGACAAAGGATCTACAATCTGAGGTACAGGATCTCAGGATAAATCCTGAGGGGATTTGACTCACCTTATCTGATACAAAAGCTACAATTCTTGTTACATAGGTCTTGCTTTATCTTGGTCTTAACTATTCAGCAGGAAAGTATAAAAACAAAGTACAAGAAATAAAGCCATGTTGTTATGTTGAGCTGTAGGGGACTCAGGTCAACAACTTCTGACATTACCAGTCAAGTGGAAGACCCAATACTATTATGGACTACTGGACTATTTTGGAATATTTTCCTGAGTCACACACCTATAATATTTAAATGAGGGAACTAAGCAAAACAAGGGGATATAGTAGAATGACATTTTGTATCTGTGTATTCAAAATAGTTAGGATAGATATATAGCTACATTCTCTTAATTCAAGAAATAGAGAGATTTGTTCTAATAGTGTTTGTAAATAGGATATCATGTCTGCATCTTGTACAACAAATAACCACTAGGAAGGCAGTATGCAATGTGTCAATTATTGGAAATGTCCTACCAATTTCATTTGAAACTGTCTCATTGCTATTTATTTCTCAATAAAATTATGGGGAAAAAGATATATCTAAACTGATACTCTGGGTAGCTGCTGCTATGACACTAACCATCTTGTTGACTAATGCTGTCATTTTCTCTGGATTTCCCTTACAATAAGCCCACCTACACTTCTGCATGCCGAGGTATCTTGATTCAATTCTTTTATCAAGGGCACAGAGAATCAGTGGACAAGACAGTGAAAGGCTGGTATCTTGCTTCATCAGGGCCTGACTTCACTGCGACATTATGCATTAGGTTGTGTCTTAGATAGCTCTAGATTTGAGCTTTGTTTTGCATTGGATCTCATAATCTTTAGTGATACCTTTTCAGGCTCAAGCATCTAGTTTCTCTTTGGCTTATGCTCATCTACCTTTGATGAAATTTACATAACAATCCAACAATAAACAGCCAGACAGATAATGTGACTCCTCAAGGCCTTCAAGATTTAGGGCTAGGCTAAAAGAAGAGGGAATTTGATTTGTAACTGGTACCAAAAAATTGCACCATCAAAGTTAAAATTTTTTTTCAAAGGGGTTATGAGCTCTCTTCAAAGTTATTCAGTTTTACAGCATAAAGTACAAGACCCACCTCTCTTCAGCTCAAAGGAATGTCCAGAATATACAGATACTGATACCTGGAGATCAAAGTCCAATTTTATCTCACCACGATAAGAATTCATGGTCTAGAAAATGATGTACAAAACAATGGCATGTCTATATTCTCACTGTAGTCTTTCTCTCACTATTTCTTCCTATGAAAGTCTCTAACGTACCTGTACATGACTATTCCTAGCGAACTGTTAAAAATGTATGTCTCATTGAAAACTCAAGAGTTTCTTTTTTGTCATCCCAGGAAATTCATGGAAAATTTGGTGATTTGAGTAAGCACCATGCAGCCCCCTATTGGAGTAAGGGAAAAGCATCTTCAGGGGAAATTTGGAGTGTCCATCCTTGAGGGAAACAGTGGATTGCCTCCTTAATATACCAATCAAGTGAGTACAGGGATGCCTTCAAAATGCCTAATGTGTAATCTCTGATAAGAATGAATGTGACAGGATGGTAGGAGAGCTATGGCTCATGCTGTGGGTGGTAAAACATGCTACTGAGGCTAAGTTATCTTCCCCAAAACAGCTTCTGTGGTGAATGACTGTTGTGGATGTCAGAGAGCCACCATATGAGTACAGAATGCCCATAATGTGACCTATAGAATATCATAGATATTGTACTCTATTTATGAGTAAAATATTATCTGTCTGTCTATCTGTTTATCTACCTATCTATTCTCTCTCTCTCACTCTCTTTCTCTGTCACTCTCTCTCTTTGTATTTTAAGGATCTACAGGGTGCTCAGGCTGTCACAAGTAGATTGGACTCATAGTGATCTGTATGTTTACAGCCTAACAGGAACTGGGATTTCAGGCAAACATCACCAGACTCAGTCTCAATTGCTATCTCAGAGCACCCTGGGAGCAGGGCCAAAAAGGCAGGCTCCTGAGCCTCCTTGCAGGCCCTTTAATCAGCTGAGCTTCTTGGCTGGCCAAGGCTATTAACCAGTCCACTCTTTTTAAGAAAGTAATTCACTGTTCCATATAGGCTGGCTTTGAACAAAATTCATAGCTCGTCCTTGCAGTGGCAGGATCTCCAAGTCCACTTGTGTGTGAGGCAACTAAAGAGGAGGCTACATGGCATGAAAATTTAGAAATGAAAATTCTGGGGGTGGGAATAGTCACGGAGATGGAGATGGTGGAAAACTTGAAATGGATCATATGACTCACATTGTATTATACATTTTTTGCTTAAATTAAATATTTTATGAACTAAAGAGAGGTTGTCTAATATAAAATCTGAGCCATTATCATGTTTAATGTTTTATCTTCATAAATTCTCACTTCTTTCTAGGTGTTTGCTCATTCTTATGTGTGAAATAATGTATCAGTTGGTCTGCCAAGGACTGCCCTATTGACCAAATGAAGGTAAATGAAGAAGAGGAAGACAAATTCTCGTTAAGGAGAATTTTTTTCCAAAGAATAGGAAAGAAGAGGAAAAACAAGAGAAAAGACAATATGAGTTAGTAGTTCCTACAAGTCAGTCTCATGTTACAATCAGACTGAAAAATGGGCACATTTGCTTCACACCTTCTATTTAGTTTAAGAAAACACATTTCTTTTATATGAAGACTGCTTCTTCTTCCATGAACTTGCTTTATCTTTAAACTCATGTATAGAATTTCTCTCTGGCCTGAACAAAATAATATAACACTTAGGGACAAAGATGCAGCCCAGCAGCCCTGCACTGGAGGCCAAGATGGAGAAGACCTCCATGGCCACCATGACTTTCCCCTTGGTGCTGTGGTACACAGGGAGGAAGGTGAGCCAGACACTGCAGAACACCAGCATGCTGAATGTCAGGAACTTGGCTTCATTGAAGGTGTCAGGCAGGTTCCTGGCCAGAAAAGCCACTGTGAAGCTCACCAGGGCCAGGGAGCCCAGGTATCCCAGGACACAGTAGAAGGCAGTGAGGGAGCCCTTGTCACAGATGATGATGATGTGGCCATGTTCAGAGTACGAATCTGTTCCAATAAAGGGTGGCTTGGTTCCCATCCAGATTCCACAGATGATGAGTTGGATTAAGGAACAGATGAGGATGATGGAGTTAGGTGCACCCAATACCAACAGCTTCCTCACCCTTCTTCCTGGAGCAGTGACTTTAAAAGCCAGAACCACAGTCATAGTTTTGGCCAAGACAGTGGAAACAGCCACTGTAAACACAATTCCAAATATGGTCTGCTGCAGGATGCAGGTGGTTGTGTTTGGATGACCAAAGAGAAATGAACAGAGAAAACAGCAGGTGAGGGAGAGGAGCAGGATGTAACTGAGAGTGTGGTTATTGGCTTTGACAATGGGAGTGTCTCGGTGCTTCACAAAGAGCCCAAGAACAGCAGCTGTGAGAATAGTAAAGCTCAGTGCTGTGACAGCCAGGGTCTTCCCCAGCGAGTCTTCATAGGCCAGAAAGGTCACAGACTTTGGTAGACAGTGGTTTCTCTGAATGTTGGCATACTGATGATTTGGACACTTCACACATTGTTCTTGGTCTAGGGAAAAATTAAAATTATTTCACTGATATCCCAATATTTCTCTCCTATTCTCAGCTCCAATCCTAAGAAGTTCATGGTTAGTGTAGTCAAACTGTGCTATTATTATTTTTCTAGACACAATCAACTTGTATTCTGTTAAAAAAAACTTGATTATTCATTCAGTGAGTAATCTATCATTGAAAAGCTACCATGATTTTCTAGCTCTGGTGTAGGAGATGTACTTCCTTTCAGGCAGAGTACTTGAGTGCTGTTGCACTTGGTCAGTAGATCAAGTTGGAAAGCACTAATACCCTGCCATCAGTGAACCTTTCCACACACCAGTTTGCTGTATGCAAACAATTTTTCAGTTTTGCTTAAGTAAACACTTTCCTTTCATGCACTGGTAGTACATTTCTAAACACTAATGGAATGTATCATGAAATGCTTCACATTTTAAGATGCAAATTTAAGTGTCATCAAAGAATGTTTTCTGAGTGAGGTGTAGACATAAATTTCAACATATACCTTTTGTTTTGTCACTGAAAAATAAAATCTATTTTATTAGGATTTTATAGTTACACACTGCCATTACTGAAAAATAATACCAGCTATGTGAAATAATTTTCAAAACTTTTTTGTTTTTATTTTGTATCCTGACAGTATTTCTTTGGCCAGTTGCAAATGTAACTTCTAGTGCCAGTGGTCATATAGATCATTTTTATCTCATTCTTGCTTACATCATTGAACAATGAAATACAATTTGAGTGTTCGCTTTGTATTGTTTAAATATAATTTATATATGTAAAGCACTTTACTTCTACCTCTAACTTTTTCAAGATTTATTTTTGTTTTTTTAGTGTATTTCATACAGTGTCTCACTATGCAGCTCAGACTCAGTAATCATCTTTTATCAACCTCTCCTGTGGTGGGTTTACAGGTATGTGATATCATGCCCTCATTCAGATCTGGTATGTTGAACCGAGTTCTGGGGCAAACACTATGTGCAGTAGCAAGGATTAAACTCTGATTCTTGAGCTTGCCAGGCAGGTGCTCAGACCATTGAGCTATCTCCCCAGCCATTAACATATATATTTAAAGTTTAATATTAAATTATTCATATGATATTTTAATATGAAACTTTTCACATTCATTAGTACAACTGATAAATTGAATCAAAGTATTTTCTTTGATGACTTCTATTTGTTCGTTTTTCCACTCAGTACTACATGTTTGTTGTCCAGAATATTACAGTATTTTTGTGGAGCTGGTTTTTATACAATACACTTTGATTCATTCAAAAATTCTCTTTCTCTACTCTCTTTCTTCTCCCTTGATGACTTTCTTCCTTTCCCAGTGAGAAGCATCTCTGTTTCTACCTTGTACCTTCTAGTTTTTATTCTGCTTTTTATTTATGTTGGAGATTCCCACAGAAAAGAAATCACATGATGTTTAGGCTTGTGTGCATAATCTATTTCTCTTAACACAGTGGTTACAGGCTGCAATCATTTTTCTAAATATGGCCACAAGATATCTTTATAACAAGGTATTACTGCATGATGTATAAACACCATATTACCAGAATTCCTTTTCTATTTATGCACATACAGGATACTGCAGAAATGTAATTACTAAGAATTGTGATACAATCAATCTGTGTGCTTACATCACTGTCATGGGACATATTTAACTCATTCAGGACAATACATAGTAAGGGGAAGTCTAGATCAGTTTGAATGTCAATACATTTTTTAAATATTGGTTTTTAAAAATTTAACTTTCTATGTCTTTTCTTTAGATTTTCTGATGTTATTTCTCTTCCACATTTTTTATTCATATTGTTTGTGACAAATGCTTTAAATACAGAACTTCATCCTTTATTCAAATATACATGGTTGCATAAAATTATGTAATACACAGTTTGATTGCAAACATAGATATACTTTTAAGTTTTTGTAAGTAATAGTTCTAAATATAAAGCTCCCCCTTTTTTTGACTGGGTCAGGCTGCCTGAAGGGCAGCTTTGGTAAGGCATGGGGACCTGAGAATCAAACTGTGGTGTCCTGCTCCTGACTGCTTTTGCATAAGCAGGTGCTTAAACAACTGAGTTAAGCAGCAGGCCCCCTAAAGCCACTATTTCTATTTATTATTATTATTATTATTATTATTATTATTTTAAATCTTTTATTTATTTGGTACGGGATCTCACCATACAACTTGGACTCATAGTGATGCTCCTGTCTGAGCATCCCCAGCACAGGGCTTACAGCTGTTCACCACTGCACATGGCTTCAGAGGCCAGGTTTATGTGGGGCCGGAATGACAAGAGGTACTGGGCATCAAACCTGGGTCCTTGCATTTTCCAGGTAGGTGCTTAGACTGCAAATCTATCTCCCTAGCATATAATTTCTAATTTACTATTTTGCATGTAAGAAAAATTGTATCAGTGTGTATTTTTTAAATCCTGATCACATAGTAATTGGGATTTGGATGCCTTTTTTTTTCTGTATGTGCACATAGAGAATAGGTGTAAAAGTATCATATCTCCAACTGTCATGAAAAATGTATACCCAAGTTGACTACTTAGTACATGGTATAAGAAGTCTCAGTGTATTGCAGAAAATAAAATAAGAATTTTCTAAGAACATTAAGAAATGAAAACATATAGAAAGCAAAAATAATAGTGTAGTAGAGAGATGGTTCCACCGTGTTCATGACCAAATAGTGTAAAATCAACTTCTCCAATGTACTTATCATGATACTCAAAACCATTAATATTTATTTGTCATTTGTTTTGTATAATATTCTGAACTTCATTTCCATATAATGTTCTTAATAACATTGAACAATATTGACATACTTTACATAGTAAGGACTGGTGAAATATTAAATTTTGCTAGTTATTTCAAGTATTTAATTTATCCTTTATCCTTCTAATGTGTCATTCATGCTCATAACCATGAAAAAGTTTATGACACTCTTACAAAAATGTTAGTATCTTTATGCATGAAAAGATATACTTCCTGCATCTCTGTGTCTTTAATTGTAATATGTCATTATATGTTGTCTCCCCTATTATCTAATGGATTCCAACAGAACAGAGAAAAAAATCTAGAGAGCAAAATGTTACTGTACCATGGACATATGATATACAAAGACAAACCTATTTCTTTTTTTTCTTTAATTTAAAAATGATATATTCTATATTTTATCATATATAATTACAGAATGTATATTTACATATAAATATGTAATACAAATATATAAATATCATATATATATATGTTTGGTATAGCACCTTGCTATGAGCTCCAATTCACAGTTGTCTTCCTGTCTGAGCCTCCCCAGTGCTGAGATTACATGCATACACCACCACAACTGGGTTCAGTGGCAGCCACCATGTGAGGTGTCAGAGATGGAACCCGCCTTCTTGCACTTGATGGGCAGCCATTTATACTACCGAGCTACCATGCCAGCCCACATACCTGTTTCATAATGAAACACTCCAACTTGAGAACCTGTTCTGTACAAAGAAATTTATCAAGAACTGAGAAATTAAGGAAATAGAAATTCCTTGTCTTCAGTGTTACATAAAGTAGTTTCAGAGAAGATGAAACACTGGTGCTTAGTAAGATTGTGTTTTAAGTTTCATGTGGACATAGAATTTACAGATTGTGGGGTGGAATAAAGACATTTTCTTGAGCACATAATGCTGCGTCTCCATTTTTCACAGTACTGGAAATGATTGCAGGGTCTTCACATTGATCATTTAGTGGGCCCTCCTTTAATCACTGACTTTTTTCATGCTCCTCCCTCAGGCTCCCAGAGTGCCGAGGTTAGAGGTGAGGGCTGCCATGCACAACTGATTACATAACTCTTTCAATGAGTCTAAAAAAATAAATGAAAGAAGCCAGATGTGCTTTCTCAAAATGGGGAAGCCAGAGGAATATGTGGCCAATGCTGGCCTCTACATACACAAATGGACATTTGTGTATCACATGTCCATGCTATAGTGACACTTCACTTTCTAATTTTTTTCCTCTGTTCTGTTGGAATCCATGAGATAACAGGGGAGACAACATATAATGACATGTTACTTAACTCAATGTAGCAATGAAAAGACTGTGGATACAGTTCAGTAGTAAACCATCACTGCGTTTTATCACCAGCAAGAAAAAGATAAAAAATTATAAAAATCACAGTCCAAAGGACTCAGAGTGTTTTTGTCCCCACCCCCAAGACTAAGACTATGGAGCAAAAAAATTAAATTTCTAAATAAATGAAGCAAGAATTGTCTCTGAAATTGTATAAGGTATAGACACTTAAAGGACAGAAAAGAACGTGCAGCATGTGTCCACGGGGGAGGCTCTTACTGGCTCATTGGCAATCTCATTCTCTGGGCAAGGGTGCAATCGAAGCAACAGGCAGGCTTTCCTTCTTGTGGGGATTTCCTGAATCCTGGATGGCAACTTTCACTGCACACAAAATGTGGGGTCTAAGAAAAGTCAGATATCTGTTGGTAACTTCTTAAGGTTTTACTTAATCCTTTGCAACAGAGTTATAACCTTAATTTGTATAAATAAATAAATACAAAATTTTATTTATTTATTTATTTATTTATTTATTTATTTATTTATTTATTTATCTATTTTGGCAGAACCAGGGATTGAACTCGGGCCCTTGCGCTTGCCAGGCAAGTGCTTATTCTACTGAGCCATCTCCCTGGCCCCACAAAATTTTGCTTAAATCCATTATTTATTGAATGATACAATATATATGAATATTTATGAAAAAGTTGTTAATACATGCATTTCTTTCCCATTAACCAGAAAGTAAGAAAGGAATAAATTATTTCTTTGCTTATTTTTCTATCTACATTAAATTTCTTGGTGCAATTCAGATATACCTAATGAGTATATTCATCATATGGCACATTTACTTGTATGTGATATTTATTGAATCTTCTTTTTTTCCCAGTGTGTTTCTCTCCTATAAGTCCCTGTTTCTTTCCCATAATTCCCAGTTCCCCTCCTTATTTACAAAGGATTGTTTTCTTTTTATTACTTGTTATAATTTCTTTTTTGTTTTCATTTGTTTACTTTCTTAACTCCACTTCCTAATTCTTTTTTTTTAATGTATTTACTACATGATCTACTGAATCTTACTGCACAGATTGGACTTGTAGTAATCTTCCTATTGTCATCCTCCTAAGCACTGGGTTTACAGGTGTGATGCCTCCACGTCCAGGCTCAGTCACCCTCCCACAATGCCCTGGGGTTGGAGCTCACTCAGCAATCTGGCAATTGAATTCAGGTCCCTGCAGCTGTCTAAACAGGTGCTTTTGTCCATTGAGTTATCTGTTGGCCCTTTCCACTCTCTATAGCTTTCTTGCTTGCTTTCCTTCCTTCTTTATTTCTTTTTTTTCCTTCTAACAATTTCATTCTATTCCAAAATTATGCTACATTTTGTACAATATTTTTTCAGTTTCTCCAACAAAGTAAGTTTCTCAATCCTTATTTACTTTTTGAGTTTCTGAAACAAGTGGAACAGATGACAAGATGCAGAAATAACTCCAAATATACTCACTCACCTAAACTCTGACAAAGTGACCAAACACATTTGTTAGAAGAAAGACAACCACTTGAATAACACCGATCCTAAAAGCTGACTTTCTTAATTCCAAAGAGTAAAACTAGACCTGTATCTCTCATCATGTACTAAATTAAAATCAAAATGGGGCAAAGATTTAAACAACAATGGAGAAACACTAAATCTTCAGAGTAAAATATTTTTAAATTGTAAGGATAATCATATTTCCATGTACTCTCCATAATTGATCAAGTGTGGGGATGAAAATAAACATCAAGATTTTGATTGTCTTTACTTCACAAAGTACTGTATGTTTAGCCTTAACATACCTCTGTAATTCCAGCGGCCCATTCTATCATATCCTCTGATAAAGACAATTGTTGATCAAGTGGAACATGCTGGGAAAACTCTCCTACTTTCACTCTAAGTCTAAAGCCTTCTGGGAAATTCCAAAAATTAAGAATGTCATACTTTGCATGCACCTTATTTTTGTCATCTAAATTTACTTGGTCTCCTCCAATATTTTTAAATTGCAAGTTCTTCAGAAAAGAGTGCAGCTGAAAAAAAGAAGAGATTGTGTGATGAATTGGGCATCAGAGTTAAGAAATAAAAACTGAATGGAGGGTTTTTATGTATTTTTTTTGTTTCTTTGTTTTTGTGAAACAGATTGAACTCAGGCCCTTGTGCTTGCCAGGGAAGCACTTATTCTACTGACCCATCTCCCTACCCCCTAATGTAAGTATTTTTAACACTTGTCTCATAATGCAACATTCATATACCTATCCAGTGAAGTAGAACAAGTGACAGTTAATGGAGGCTAAACTACCACATCTTTGTAAAATGTCAGTGTCAAAATAAAATATTCCAATAAAGTCTTTGGAAATGCACAGTGAACACAAATACAGGTTTTTAAAACGCACTATCACTCTGGCAATTTCCACAACTTCCACCTAAAATGAAGTTATCAATATGAAAGGTTACTACAGAATTAAATGCAAAATTCACATAAAATCTTCAATAAAGTGTCATACATAATGTGTTTTTCTGCTTTTACATAAGAACTGCAGGTACAGTTTCAGATTTTTTAAAAAAATTTAAATCATAATGTGGGCACAACATTGATATTTTTAGAATGAAAGCAAAGATTCTGACTCATTACCAGATATTATTTTATCTCAGTGATAAAACTAACACAGAATTGCCCAGGTTTATGAGAAACAATTTTTAGCTGCTTACTTTAAACCCCTATGAACCCACTTTTAAAATGATCTTGATACTAAGAGATACAATGTGGTAAGTGAAACATTACCTGCCAAGGGTAAAATACCACTGTGTTCCCATTTCTTACTGGTTCCATTTCACCTTGCTGAAATAACATCTCATGAAGGGCATGGGCCACAGCATACACAGCGTTGTAAGTATTGTAAGTCCCATCGCTCATGGTTGTGTCAAAATAAGGTAGCCAATCCAGAGAGGCATTAGGGGGACAGTCCTTCACCATACAGTCAGACTCTGATAATGAGCAATGGAAATTCTGGTACCAATACCAAGTGAGGAAAGTGTCTTCTGGGTATTTGGAAGGATTCACTCTCTGGACAAAGGTTTTAAAACCAGCAATCTTCTCATGCTGTTGTGAAAATATGAGAGCTCCATGGAAAGTGTCAAACACGAAATGTCTTCCAGCCCTGTCAGCATGCCATTGTGAATTTGTGATCCAGACTCTCCAAGTCACTAAATGCAGTCCTATATAATGGTTTATAGTATTTACACTCTCAGTATCATAGTAAAGGATAACGACATGTACTGGAGAAGATTCCCTGGTGACAAAATCATGGTGTTGTATAGTTGTGAGATAGGACACAAGAAGATTTCTCATAATTTTAACAAATGCTATACAGACTCCATTCCTATCCATCTCATCTCTCACATCCGAGAGAAACTGAAAACCTTTCTTACCATCTGTGATGACCAGTCCAACCCATTTCCAGCTGAAATAAAGTATCAAGGAAGCCATACCACTGGCCAGTGATGTGTCTTTTGGAGCTGTCTGGTAGACAGAAATAAAATGGCCATTTTCATTAAACATAGGATCAAAAGAGCCAAAGGGAAGCTAATCAAATAAAAAAAAACCAACACAAAAGGAGTGAGATAGATTTCATGTACAGCACAAACTGAAATTGAGAGATACTAAGAATGAGCTAGAATTCATGTAATAAAATACTTACCCCTTCCATCTATATAATTATCTCATTTTTCAACCATTAATTTTGAAAATACCCAAACAGACTCTGAGTTCCAGGAGAATTCATCCCTCTCTCACACCCCACCCATGCAGATGGGTAAGCCCACAATCTCTATGCAATACACTTTGGGATTATAGAAATTGAAAGATAGAGGAACTCAGGCTCTTTATTTCAGCAACTGTAGAAACCTGAGATGAACAACAAATGTGACAGGAATTTATCCCTCCCTAGCATGCCCACCCTCACCTGCGGAAATCTATAGAGTTCTGGTAGTGTTCCAGTTTGAACAGCATTTGCCCGTGATGTTCCTGTTATTAGAGCTACAGACTTGCTCTCTCTCCCACAGGAATAGTTAGGGGTTGTATCCTGTCCTGTGTGCAATATGAAGAAAGCCTCCAACAGCCTCCAATAGCTATACAGTAAGGTGTGATACTCATACCCCAGAGATATGTTGGGTAAAAGTTGAGGATTCCTGTTGATCTCTTCAATGGCATACATGAAGGCTAGAACATTCTGGTAGTTGTTGAGCACAAGCCTGCATAGAGAGTACAGAAGTTCTTAAAGTAAAGAATCAATCCACAACTCCATTCCATTTCTGTATCACACCACTTGTAATTTAAAATTTTATTAGTGACCCCTAACCCCAAAATTGGTAACCTCTGAACCTAAACCTGAATCTGATGGCATGTGAAGATTATTTGTGGCATAGTCACTAGCATTAAGTAAAGTCACAAAGGTGAGTTTCTCATTAAGGAGGATCATGATCTACCAGTGTCTCAGAACAATCTCGATTCATGCTTCTGTCAAATGAGTACATGTTGAACATACTAAACCAGTAAGTCAATTCTCTCTTACTTTCTTAACGCAAACAATTTTTCAATAAAATAATTAATTTTTACTAATTTTATGAAAAGCAAATAGCAATAAGGTCATTTCAAAAACAATTAATAGGACAGTTTTAATAATTAGTACATTGCATATTGTTGTCTTACTCTTAGTACATGATGCAGACATGATATCCTATCCAAACACTACTAATACAAATCTTCTTATTGAATTAAGAAAAAGTAACTGTATATCTATTTTAACTATTTTGTATATACAGATACAATAAGCTCCTTCATTTGTATCTGCAGTTTTTGTTCAGTTTTGTCAGAGATGGGTATTCCCTTGCCATTTAAATATCATAGATGCACGAATTCAACAAAATAAACCAATATGGTCTAGTAGTCCATAATACTACTTTAGGGTTAACTTTAGGTCTGGCTATCTCAGAATTTGTTGACTTGAGCCTTTTAGAGCTCTGCATATTAATATTGCTTTCCTTTTAGACCATGTTTTTATACTTTTCTGCTGGATGGTTAAGACCAAAATAGAGCAAGACTTATATAACAAAAAATGTAACTTTCGTATCTGTCAAGGTCCATCAAATCCCCTCAGGATTTACCCTGAAACTCTGTACTGCAGTTGGTAGATTATTTGTCAGTGTCATCCATATAGATGAGTCACGGTCATTGCTGGACCAATTTACTCTCTGTGAAAGCCAGTAAGAATGGTTTCTCTCCATGTGACTCTGTAGGCAAACTCTACATCATTTATCACTTTTCTCTGTGGCCTTATAATCACCTTGACCAGAAAATTTGGGACACAACTGAGTTACAGAATATTGTATTACATTACCATCTAAAATGAAATACCTTGGAATTAATTTAACTAAAAAAGTTAAAGGTCTATTCAATTAAAATCATAGTACTCTGAAAAAAGAGATCATATAGGATTTCAGAAAATCAAAAAGTGTTCCCTGCTGCTGGATAGGAAGAATCAACATTGTGAAAATGGTCATACCCCCAAAATTATTGTACAGATTTAATGTAATCCTTATCAAATTAACAATAACATACCTCACAGATGTAGAGAAATCAGTCTTATGATTTATTTGGAACCAGGAAAAAAAAAAACTTAGAATAGCAAAGGCAATGCTGGGCAGCAAAGAAAAGGCAGGAGGAATTACAATACCTCACTTGAAATTATACTACAAAGCTATTGTGAGAAAATCAGCATGTTATTAGCAAGAAAATAGACATGAGGATCAATTCAATAGACTAGAAGATACAGAAGCCACTAGAAACATACTCAGCCATCCTATCTTCAACAAAGGAGTCAAACATGCTTCCTGGAAGAAAGATAGCCACTTTAACAAATGGTGCTCGAAGAACTGGCACTCTACATGCCGAAAACTAAAACTTGACCCAGGTGTATCACCATGCACTAAGCTAAAGTGAAATGGATTAAAGATCTAAGCATTAAAACAGAAACACTAAATCTCCTGAAAGAGAAACTGGGAGGAAATCATGGAGACAATGGATTAGGCATGGAAAAGATCATAACTAATAAGCACTCACACAAAGGTCTGAGCTCTA